CAGTAACGTCGTACACGCCCCAAGGATCCTCCCTGCAGCTTTCCTGTGGGAAAGAAAGAAGCCCAGAAACCTGACAACTGGCTCCATGACTTCTAGGCAGACAGGCCATGGACAAGGAAACCAAGCAGTACATTAGTACACAGGTCAGGGTATTCTAGACTGGGGAGTGACCAGTCAGCATTTTAAAAGCACACGAAAACAAAGTGTTTTTCTATGTGCAACACATGTAAGGCGAAAGCATATGTGACACCAAAGAGAAATGGACCCATTGTGCTATGCATGTTTGGGTAACCATCCCAATGCTGGTATCTGATCCTGTGGGAGAGATCCCACGGCTGTGGCTACATAAAGCACACAGAGAACCCAGATCTTACTGGAACCTCTTTGCGTCAAAGAGGACCTTCAGATCTGCACATCCAAGCAACTTCGCACAGGGGTCAGGTCAGCTGTGTAGCATCAAAGGTGGGCTGTGCTGTTTGGCCTCTGGCCCCCCTCCTTGCATACATTCAAGACCAGTTGCTGGAATGCCGTGCCAAGTGAGAGCATTGATCCATCATCGTCCACGTCGCTCTATCTGCACTGCCTGCCTAAGGCTGCGTCTTCTGCCATTCAGAGCCAAGGACATCTATTCTGTCCCTTGAATATGGAACGTGAATGACGCAGGGTATAAAGGGCTTACTTTTTAATGCTCTGAACTTAGTGCCAAACAGTCACCTTAGGAGTATTCTGTTCTAGTAATACGGAGCAGAAAAAAAACTGAATTGCCCTGTTCTCTTCATGCTTTGCTATGCCCCCTGCCCTGTGAAATGACCTCCTCCATGAAGCATGCCAGGCCCAACACCGAAAAGGAGTATTTTAAAACACTTCTTTGAAGGTTGGTCTCCTCTGCCATTAACCCTCCCCCTGCTATAATTTTTAATGACTTTTATTATACTTATAAGCTGCTTCAGATTTTTTGCAATGACAAACAGGATAACAATACTTTGACTAATAACTTTAATAAATAAAAATGTACAGACCTGTAATCAGTTCTGGTGGGTTCTTTGCTTATGTAAAATGCAGCAATTAGATTTGCAGCTGACTTTGGCTAATCCCAAAAAGGTAAGCAGGATTTGGTTGGTATCTGGATGGGAGACCACCAGGTAATACCACTAGGCTAGACCGATAAGTCAAAAAGCATCCAAAAAAAGGCAATGGAAAATCACTTCCTCAGTTGCAAAGAAAACCACCTAGACGTGTTCATAAAGTAATGGGAACTGAACTCAACTTGAAGCCAGCTACCTTAATTATTTGTGACAGCATCTTCATTTATGAACAGCCCAGCAGTTAAATGGGAGTTTCTGTGAAGCTGTCTTCCAGATTATAGAAAACTTTTTAGTTACAGCAATTATTCCTTTCTGTATTTCTGCATGTGCCTCTTTGGAGAATTCAAATGCCATGTTATTTTACTTTTACTCAGCAGCACCACATCTTTCACAGATTACAGTACAGAATAAGAAAAAAAGGATGTATTTTTTCCTCTTCTTTAATGGCCAAAGGAGGCATGAAAGGCCAACTTGGCACCCTGCAGATATAAAGAAACTGAAACTCTTCTTTGTCTGGGATACCATATACAGAAAAAAATTGCAGGATAAATATAAGCCTGAGGTGGCTTGCAGATTAGGCTGTGCAATGTTTCACTTTGATGAAGGTTTGTGTGATCTCTCACCCCCAAAGCCAGTTCATGACATGACATGACATGTCCTTAACCCTAACCCTTTCTGAGGAAGCAGAGCAGCCACATTGCTTCTCTGCACCTGCTCTGACATTTGCACAGCTGAAAAAAATGAGGGTCCTCAGGCAGAGGCCTTTCCAGCTTCTGCAAGGACCAGTTGAAATCCCAATCTGATGGTGCAAGAATCCAGAGTTTGGGGTCAAGCTTAATGCTTTCTTCAAATGTTGCAGGGATGCCTACATCACCTTTCTTCCTGTAAAATTTGGCACCGTACCTTAACACATAAGGAATGTCAGGATATTTTCTAAGTGCTTCCTCAATGTACTTTTCTCCTTCCTTCACTCTGTTTGTTTCTTGCAGTTTTAAT